AGAATACTGTTCATATACATCTCAAAAGAAGTTAAAGAGCAGCCATTGTATTAGATGACTACTTCTAATTGTTTTTGGCTGGTGGGGATTGCAACACACAGCCTCCTAATTTGGGGAGCTCGTCATCTTGTTTTGAGAAGTATAGACTACTGGTTGGTGAGCTATATATCAACTTTCTAGATCTGTCCAACATCTCGAGATACGACAGAATTGTCAATTCAGTACTGCTACAAACTGGTGACAAACTATCTCCACCAGGCCTAGTTTCCCTTGATGACCACCTGTCAACATTCAGGACCTGGGACTTCTGTTGGACATATAAGAGGCTTTCAAAGACTGTGCTCTTTTCTTTAAAAGGAGATTCTTTTTGGAATCCACAAATACGTTTTTACAGAACATCCAGCATTTTCAGGAAGAATATATTTTGGAAAACAATGGTTGTCCTCACCTGAAGAGTCCATAACTTCACCTAATGCTTCAGTTTAGCTTCAACCATTATCTTCACTATTTGATTGGGATTCATATACACATTCCTTCCCTATTCTGACTTGTCCTAGATGGTCCTCTGTTTTCCAGTTTCACTTACTTGCCTTTTAGTGTTTCCCCAAGGCATTTTTTAGCAGAAGCCTGCCCTATATATTTGCTCCCTGCCCTTTCCATTTGGTGCCTTGCCCTTCTTTTTAATACAATAATTGATATTAACACTTGGTGGTTTTTAGTTTCTATTTCATGTTGAAGTTACGTGAAATAACTGTCCTTTGAGTCTTTAAGAATTATATGCATGGATAACTGAACGTAATACTTGGAAATCTCTCATTGCATGCCCCTGTATAAAATAGAGTGTCCCTTTTGAAATGCTGTCGCCCTTTTTGGATCCTGGGGGAAACACTAGCTTTCCATGTAGTTGTGACAGTTATCATCCTCGATAATCTCCGGGTATACCTTACGATCTCCACTAGTGGACATTTTATCGGAACGTATACCCTGGAGATTATCTTCCACTTGATCTTTTGTCAGACTGCCCAATGCACCAGGGTGAATCCAATCCTTCTACTCAATATTCGGCAAGTAGTATGAAGGTGGGATTTGATGAGGTAAAGTATTGGGATATTACACAACAATGGTTTCTATACATATAATATCCTACAGGATGGAAAATACCATTTGGAAAAATATTTTTTGGATATTCTCTAAAAACATCAAAAGCCTGAGTATAACTGTACAACGACCACTGCCAGAGACTGCATAAAAGCATGTCCTGAAAAAAATGTGCATTATGTGCTTTTTTGAGTGAGATTGTGATCTGGGTTTAATATCATTTAACAGTATTCTGGTTACATCGTGGCATGTAAGCTTAATATGCGAGGAAACCCCGCATCCCTATCCCCACTCCCAAAAAACCCAGATGTGGTTGGTTTCTCAGGAAATAATCTAAACATCAGATAAGATGCACATTTCTCAGAGAAGCATTTATGCCTATTTGGTGTCACAGTCACAAAGTGTCAAGAAAAAATATTACTCTCATGTTCGCTATTTCAAATGTATCTAGGCAACATAAGTAAATACTACAAAAACTTTGAGGTTCCTCTCTTTTTATGTTTGACATGTAACATTTGACACGGTCAAATACTAGTACATATGTACATACTTGAATCTGTAGGACATTGTTGGTACGTGTTGCTAACATCCATATGATTACATTACAACATGTAGGTCTGGACACAAGGATTTCTTGTGATCCCTGTAACAATCCTATCACATATTACTCATCTATACCACAAGATAAAGCATGGACCTTTTGGTACAGTTTCTATAGACAAGCTCAAAAGTTTAATCTAAATTTCTTAAGTTTAGGGGAAGGGAAGTTAATGACCTTGCAAGTTTTTCACCCAGTAAAACAACTTATCTTATTTTTACATAAACATTTTACATACACTTATTTTTTTATAATAGATGCCATTCCTGAAATGAGATTGTTATCGAAAGAAACCGTGAATCTTTCAGTGCTAATTTGTCATTCCTTGTCTAAACATTCCAGATTTTTGTTCATGTTATCATTATAAGTGCATATCATCATCATCATGATTTTATTGAAACATATGTAACAGTACTAAAATATTTCTGTCATTCCTTATGACAGTATGTTTTTGATTATCACTTGGAATAACCTTTTCAGAAATACGTTTTAAAGGATGAGGGGTCAGTCTACGCCTCAGAACTTGAGGAATTCAGTTTTTTATCCAAATGTTCCTTAAATGACACAGATGGATCTGAAATAATGTACAACATTTTTGGATTATCAAAAACTAAACAAAATATAAATATACTTACTTACATATAAATATAAAAGTGCAACTACAGATGAACAGAGTAGATAACTAGAGATAAATATACTGGTATTTTAACATTTCCAAGCTGTCAACTTGCCTGCAAAATCCTTTAGCCACATGGATCCTGAGATTTTCATTCACAAGATGACTGTCTGATCAGAAGATCCTAGTCTGTATTTATATATGCAGCAATTACAAACTTTGGTTATCAAAGAGTTTTTAGGAAACTGCAAGATAACAGGTCACAGTTTTGCCAATAATATTTTGAATTTCAAAGGAATTCCCACTTTTATTAAGTAAACTGAAATGAAAATCTTACAATTCACCCATCTGCACTCTTGTCTTGTACAACATTCCCGAGTACATTAACATAAAATGTACTAAAAGACATCACCTAAAACATTAAATTTCTGGCACAGTAAAAAAACAGTATTTCTCAGTAACTAAACTATTTTCAAATAAATGCTGAATTGGTCTTGCAGATTTCATGTTTTAAAACAGGAATCTTTATGCTCAGATATGATGACCAATATGTTTAGTAATTGCACAAACACTTATAGGAAACAATGATTTATGAAACTGTAGAATATCATAGAGAAAATTCGTTTTAATATCAGCACAAGGGTTGTCATGTGTGACTCTCATATTTTGATAGTTACGGTTTTTGGTCACAGGACATCAGATGTGTTCAGGTATTAGGTGTTCACTACTTTGATGAAACACATGTGCGTGGCAATGTTCACAACAACCAAGGATTTAGTCAGACGTTATGTTCGCGACCACCTGGTGTCATTACTGATTTTCAGTCATCCACTCATATAACATTCACAGCTATTTTTCCTTGTATGCCAAATGGAATTTCACCTGTGAATTGGCAAGACGAGGTATTCTTTTGCACTGATAATCTGGTGTATATTTATTTATTTATTTATTTATACTTCATGTTCTGCTTAGTTTACATATCATTGATGACAAAAAATATATAAAATATTAAAAAATAATTTCAGAATGACAGGTCCTTTTTTAACATTAACAGCAAAGACAGCTTTGATTACAAAAATGACAATGAAATGTCACAGTCAGACATAAAATATCATTATGGAACAAAACCACGTTAAGACTTGTTATTTTTCATCACTTCCAAAATTCAGGGATGAGAATGAAGTTTTGAGAAAAAGTCTGAAAACTAGCCAGGTCCAGGGCGGTGCCCGGAGGGGGACACGAAGCTCCTGGTATTTAGGCATTTTAGACCTTTAAAACTGGCTAAGAAATGACAATATCATGAACACAGTAACCCCATTCCCCCTTAAAATTTCTCAACGGATTTAGGCGATTCACAAAAATTACCCTTGGCCTTATGAAATTCACGGAAATGTTTTCTCTTCAGCATGGTATCCTGATCAACAATGAACATTTTGATGTTATCTAACTACACAACGTTACATCATCCACTACAATCCACTAGGTGACTTAAAATAGCTGTTCCTTATAGCTTTATGACAGCACCCACTGGGTTCTTTTTGTTTCATGCTCAGCAGCTTCTGAGAGTTGTTGTGATCTCAAACTTACTTCAATGTCCACTACAGACACGAGTCTGTCAGGAGACAAGTCTCCATATGTAGTGATAACTTGTTATTTCTTTCGTCAATCCAACTTGTGTCATGAATGTTAAGATAGCTTGACCTTCAGTCGAGTCTTGAATCTGTTATCCTCCTTTGATAAAACGATTCAAGATGGACACCAGCTTCCTTATCATCTGTTATAAGATTCATGGGAAGATTATGTCAGCTGTATGATGGCGGTGTGTTGAAATTGAGTCTGGACAAGACAATGTAGTAATTGATATTGTCAGTATAATCTATTCAGCCGGGCAGCCAACATACCGTCAGATACAACACAGTTTCATGTTCAATTTTGTCACATGATTCAATCTGCAAGGTTGCCGGGCACCAATTTAACTTGGAATCTCATATTAACATGATTTTGGGAGGATAAAGACTGACTGACTGAGTTTGGTTTTACGCCGCTTTTAGCAATATTCCAGCAACATCCGACAGGGGATACCAGAAATGGGCTTCACACATTGTACCCATGTGGGGATTCGAACCCGGGTCTTCGGCGTGACGAGCCAACGCTTAAACCACTAGACTACCCCACCACCTCTGGGAGGATACAGAATCATCATTGGTTGTTGGCAGAGAATTTGACGTTCGGCTTTACTTAATGACTTGAATAAAAATTATCAGTATATTAATCAACATTGTGATCATGACTTGAGGTGGAATATAAAGGCCTTTAGGTCCTTCATGCAATCATAGTAACGCTGCCATTATCTGATGCTTAACACCCAACTCTGCTACGTTCAAACCATATGACAGCGTTAGAGTTTGAACTAGACAATCCATTGACATGGGCATTGATCACTGACTGACTGAGTTTGCTTTTACGCCACATTTAGCAATATTCCAGCAACATCACGACGGGGGACACCAGAAATGGGCTTCACACATTGTGCCCATGTGGGGATTCGAACCCGGGTCTTCAGCGTGACGAGCCAACGCTTTAACCATTAGGTTACCCCACCGGCCCAGGCATTGATCAATGCAAATTGGATACTAAGTTGACCTCCTGATCCCATAAGTTGTTTCGTGTGACTTGCATTGGTATCTGAAGACCAATTCTACTGAGGATTTTCATGGATGGCTACCAGTGACGGTGTTACTGATCCCAACAGATAAATTGATTATACACCTATGTCTACGAATATCATATTTTGTTTGAAAGAACATTATCATCTTCAGTAGCGTCAACACACAAGACAACCAAAACAGCTTATCCAGCTGAAAATAACATGTTCTGATCCTTATAATCTGTAATCAAATCCCAGGAATGTCCCTCATATTCTCATCATTAATTTAATGCCAACCTACAAAATTTTATGCAATAGTGATATACAAATAATATACATATCATCCACATTTCTTACTGCTTCTTGGTCAAAATCATGAACCAAATGATGATTGAACCAAAATATGATCCAGTACACAATCCGAACATTGTAAATCTGAGACTATTCCCCGTCTGCAAACATGCATCTTCATTCCAGTCTCAACACACAAACTATATACATCTACCAGTCTCACATCCCACTCTCAAACAAAAAATAATATCAAACTCCCTTTCGTCAAATCCTTTCATAGAACAGCATGTAAGCCTCCGAACCCAGCACCTGTTCCCTGGATGCCCTCTGGACATTTGCGTCGGATGTATATAACCATTTATCACTGCTTTTACCCGCCTGTCCGCACAAAGGGCTGCGTCTATATGTGACAAAATGTCCGGACAACTCGTCCCCGAGATGCGCGACAACGCTAGAGAGTCTGTAGGTGAATTCTGTCTGTTTGGGTAGGTCGGGTCCGTTGTGGTTGACGTCTCCGTGGGTGTTGGGTAAACTTAATGGACACGGTGGTTGCAGGAACAGCCCGTTCTTTGTCGTGTGGCTGTCGTAGTTGAGAGCACGTAACAAATTTACGGGAGCTGATTGCGAAACGAAACGTCCATTATTGCTACCAAACCTGAAAAAAACGAGAACTTTTATAGCCTAGTACATAAGCAATCAATTGTTTGTCAAGCTATGTTTTCACAAATCTGTTTTAGTAATACTTTCTAAACAACGAAAAGAGACAGTCTGTGTGATTTTTCCAGCTGTGTGATGAATAGGTTAGGTTTTTGTTTGTTTGTTGTTTAACGCCACACTCAGCAATATTCCAACTATATGGTGGCGGTCTGTAAATAATGAAGTCTGCACCAGACAATCCAGTGATCAACATCATGAGCATCGATCTAAGCATTTGGGGTGTGATGACATGTGTCAATCAAGTCAGGCAAGCTGTTTCCTCACTGTGAAATTTTAGCTTATTTCCCTGATTTCACAGTTAAGGCTGAAAGGGGTATATGTGTGATGCGAGCCACACCTTTGATATTTGTCTATGACTGTCCCTGACCCTGGCATTGCCGTATGGTTGGAGGGTTTGCTTATCACACCTAACAGCTTGATTCGATTCTCCTGGTATGGACAATGTGTCAATCCCATTTCTGGTGTCCTACTCCGTTATAATGATGGAATATTACAAAGAGATTTTTTGAGTGGCATTCTAGAAGTTGGTGGTATAGAGATGACAAAACTTTATGGGCGATCAACTTCTTAATTTTGACAATAGTGACATTTCGGTATAGATTCTTATACCGTATGCTTGAACTGACTGACTGACTGAGTTTGGTCTTACACCGCTTTTAGCAATATTCCAGCAACATCACGGCGGGGGACATCAGAAAAGGGCTTCACACATAGTACCCATGTGGCGATTTGAACCGGGGTTTTCGGCGTGACGAGCCAACGCCTTAACCACTAGGCTACCCCACCACCCCTTGATGCTTGAAAATGGTATAAGAATCTATAGCGAAACATCGCCTTTGTCAAAATAGAGAAGTTGATCATCCATAAAGTTTTGTCATCTCCATCACTATTATTATTATTATTATAGGATATTTATATAGCGCACATATCCAGGCAACTAGTGCATGCTAAGAGAGGCATAAAACAATACTCATGCACTCCTGATGGCATCAGGCAAGGCAATAACAGTACATCTGGTACCATCTGTTAAAGTCTACACAATGCCACCAGTTATCAACCCACCACCTCCCTCTCCCATGGCAGATGCTTTACCCACAGAGGCGGTCACCACAGAATATCTGACAATGTAAATACCTGAGGAGGTCTAGTGTTGCATCCTTTCCCCCGAAAAGGCCATTCTTATTGTCACTGTCCTTCCTCTTGCCCTTCATGTAGACGTAGCTGTCCATGTGAAGAACTTCGGGGAAGGAGATGAAGTCGTAGCGCTTGACGGGGATGCTGTTGTTGAGCCACTGTGTGCGCTGGATGTGAATGCACAGACACTGAGGCACCTGAAACATCGGGAATAAATATGAAGGCTGTGGTTGTGAGTGAGTGAGTGAGTGAGTGAGCAATATCACGGCGGGGGACACCAGAAATGGGCTTAACACATTGTACCCATGTGGGGAATCAAACCCGTTTCTTCGGCGTAACGCACGAACGCCTTAACCACGAGGCTACCCCACCGCCCCACTGTGATTGTGAGTGAGTCTAGTTTTACGCCACTTCAAGAAACATTCCAGCAGTATCATGGTGGGGCACAGAAGAAATGGGCTTCACACATGTGCAGAACTGAACCTGGGTCTTCGGCCTTAAGCACTAGGCTACCCTGCCATCCCATATCAAATCATGTGAGGTTCAATAGGTTAAGTTCACCCCCTACCTAGAACTTTTATAGTGGTCCTTTTAGACACTGTAAATTTGTGGTGTGTGGGTGTATTTAGTTTTACACCGCTTCAGGGGTGGAAATAACTTTAAAATTGCTAGTGTACTCCGGTACAGTGGCACATGTAAAATAACTTGCCCTGATAATTTTTCCACTATACTGGCCGTTTTCTTGTTGATTTTTTAAATAAATAACATAATTAACATTGGAAAGTCAACTGGACACTGGTACAGTATGATATACAAATTTGCTTGCCCGACAGAAAAAGACATTGGAATCGGGCGTCGGGCAATGGGTTATTTCCACCTCTGCGCTTTAAACATTATTCCAGCAATATCACAGCGGGGGACACCAGAAATGGGCTTCGCACATTGTACCCGTGTGGGGAATCGAACGCCGGTAATCGCTGTGATGAGCGAACGCTTTAACCACTAGGCTACCCCATCGCTCCTGTAAATTTGGGACTGTATATTAAGTCCTGTATTAGCAAAGATCCAGATTAGTCAAAGTCTGTTTTTGTCAGGATTTTCATACCAGCAGAGAGCAAACTGGAAAAAGAGCTTTTCTTTACCAAACTAAGGAATCATGGAAAGTCCATAATTTCCCATGCACACAGGTATATGGTCATGACTTTACTTAGAATATTACTGACTGACTGAGTTTGGTTTTAAGCCGCTTTTAGCAATATTCCAGCAACATCACGGCGGGGGACACCAGAAATGGGCTTCACACATTGTACCCATGTGGGGACTCGAACCCGGGTCTTCGGCGTGACGAGCCAACGCTTTAACCACTAGGCTACCCCACCGCCCACTTAAAATATTAAGTTAAAACTATGGTCATTACTAAAACAGATGTCTAAACAGGAATTTAAATAATCCCATAAGACCTGGTGCCAAACGACCTCTGAGAAATTGAAATAACATCTCATAGTTTACTGACGTTTGATAAATGAACAAATTCATGAAAATATCTGAGGTTTTCTATTCCCCATACTCCAAGTTGCTGCGGGAACAAAACCATGAAAGTTATATCAAATACTACCACATCTTTACCTTTCCTATAGTTAACTTCTTCTTAAAACACGATTTCGGTGACATTGAAGGATCTTTGGTGCCGGCTATCTTGGCACATCCAGGACACTGAACGTCCTTGACCATCTCGGGGCAGATGTAATGGTGGAGGAGCATGTCCAGACTGAGAGGGCCCTGGAAGACAAACAGGCATGACAAACGGGCATGACACACATGACAACCTTCATAGTACCTGCAGCAGGATTTGTACGTGAGGTGAGGGGAAATTGGGTTTAACGACGTGCTTGAGAATATTTCGCTCATATGACGACGTGCATGCGTGTGTATGTGTATGTGCGGCTGCTTGTACTAGCCCAGACTTAAGCTGGTTTTATAGTGCTAGCCAACTGAGATACCATGCCGCAGTGAAGCATGAATACCCCACTCAGATTCATTATACTGACTCCGAGCCAACCAGTCCTTGATGTACCCATTAATGCCGAGCGCCAGGAAGGGACCAACAAATTTAACGTCTTTTGGTATGACGCCGGGTCGGGACCGAACCCGCGACCTTCCGCTCTCCGGGCGGACGCTCTAACCACTACACCACGGAGGAGGTCCAGGATTTGTAATACATTCAAATATTTTATATATGTGAAACAAGGTGAAACCGTGAATCTGGTCTTACACTGCCCACAACCATACCCCAGTTATATGCAGGTTAAACATGTTACAACCCTATTAAATATACCTATACTATTGCCCCTTATCCCAACTTAATTCCCCAAAATAATGTTATCCTGCACTAGTGGATTTGTCTAAAGGTAGTGTTTATGTATGTAGATTTACTCCTCTATACTGAATACACCCTGTAGTAAAGTCTCTTTGTAAAAACAAGGTCCTTACTTCAAAGGATTAACCGCCAGTACATTGATTGATTGCTCATTATTGGCTAACTAAATTACTTTTTTAAAGAATGGCGGACATCATGCAATTAGTTGCCAGGTGTGCTATCTTGAGTGACCAATGGGACTATACACCAATATGAAAAACCTGAAACGATAGATCACTTTTTCGCATATTAGACAGTTAAAAGACACATGACATGGAACAGGATTCTTTGTCAGCTGCAGATGAATGGCATCTCATTCCTTTATGTGAATATTGATGGATACATTCACCGAACAAGGTAATAGCCTGATATTGTTGCTAAAACTTTAGTCTGTTTTAATTTTAATATTTGCATTTTGTTATTATTTATTTCTTATGACATTCAAAAGAATCATTTTTGTTGTTGTGAAGTGTAATGAGACAGACAACATACACTAGGTCGCACTCAGAACTCAGTGTGTGTGAAATATGATACACGCTTGGCAATCTATAAAATGTCTAGATATTACAATCATGTTATAAATTCACTAAGTATAAGCAGATCGTGTGCATTTTATTAAGTTTACAAAAATGCATACAAATATGATAATAAACTATATAGGATTATAAGACAAAATATAAAGATGTATATTGAGTTAACGCTTTAACCATTATTTCAGTCCTAACAGACGTTTTTTTACCACTGGCAGATGGTTAAATTTAAAATGTTTTCATTTGTTATCAAAATAATGCCATTTAATACAACATTCAGATTGACTGGTAGAGACCGAAGCTCACTACTCTCCCCAAGACTCCCCATGTACTTAGTTAGCCTTACTTTCAAAACAATGCTATTATATCAGGCTTCTCACCAAATTCAAGGTCAAACTATTTCTTAAATCAAATTCTACATCCATTTACGTTAACATTTTTAATAAGTCAATATTACTATGAAATTAACATTTTACATCAAAATCAGCATTTTTATCAAAGTGTATATTTTTCTATAAGAAACCAAATTATTCATCAAAGTCTACATAATTTTACAACAAAATCAACATAAAGATTATCAAGTAAAAAAGATTTCATCTTTGTTGATCAGTCTATACTTATACTATCAGTTGCGCATGAGGGTGGCGCAGCAGAGGTAACGAACCAGTCATGAATTCTGGGATATCATCCAGGTACTCACTGGACAAAAACAATAACAAAAGCAACAACCAGTCCACAGAAATTGCTCTGGATCAGTGGCCCTTTAAATATGTTACAACTCTGGCAGAACCAGTGAGCATTGGAATGGTACTGACAACCACTTATACATCAGGGTGAATCAGGAAACAACACCATTGCAAGCCAGGACTTGAATAAGGGAAGCAACTCTGGATAGCATATTGCACCACCTTAGACAACAGCCAAATCTATCCAACGTTAAGAGAAAGGCAGCAAGTTTATGAAATGTATATCTGTCGTACCCGCTAAGATAGAGTGAGTGAGGAGTGAGTGGGTGGGTGGGTTTTGGGTGGGTTTTGGGTGAGTGAGTGAGTGGCGAGTGGGTTTAGTTTCACACTACTTTTAGCAATATTCCAGCAATGTCATGGCAGGGTAAAAAAAAAAAAAGGACTTCACACATTGTACCCACGTGGGGAATCGAACCCGGTTCTCTGATGTGTCGAGCGAATGCTTTAACCTATAGGCTACCCCACTGCCCAATGAAGTCAAATGAACCACTAAATTTAGTTTGTTGTAACCTTAGTTCTTTATACACATTTTGACTAAATCATACAGCAAATGACACGAACAAATAGACAGTTTGCTACATCAGTTTGTTAGAAACATAATTTACTGAATATTTCTAACCCATAGCTCAGGGGCATCTTGAGACCATGTTTCTGGAAATGACTAAAGAGAAACACTTGAGTTTCCAACTAAACTCACCCAGAAGTTGGCTGGTATGCTGAGAGACAGGCTGTTGAAGAGGTCATACTTGACAGGGCACCGATGGCCACAGTCTCGGCACTGTAACTGGCTGGCCAGGAGGCCTCGGAAGGGATGTTCCATTTCCCGGTGAGGGAGGACAGGTAGGAGACCCTGGCTACGGGTCATTGCAAGTCCCTTAGGTTGGTATTTATTGCAAGGGTTCTGAAAAACACATTTTGAAAACACAGTTAGGAAATACCATGTCCACGATGAGTACAAGTGAATAGTGAGTGAGTGAGTGAGTGGGGTTTTACGCCACTTTTAGCAATATTCCAGCAATATCACAGCGGGGGACACCAGAAATGGGCCTCACACAATGTACTCATGTGGGGAATCGAACCCGGGTCTTCGGCGTGACGAGCGAACGCTTTAACCACTTGGCTACCCCACTGCCCTGAGTACAAGTGAATAAGTCAATGAATACATTGTATTTTCAACACACAAACTCACCTGAATATCAAAGGGAGACATTAGACACACTGACCTGAATATCAAAGAGAGACATTAGACAAACTGACCAGCACATTTGAGAAACTTCACACCAACTGACCTGAATATCAAATAGAGACAAACACACACAGAGTGACCTGATCATCAAAGAGAGATACAACATAGCTACTGACCTGAATAGCCTGTATGTCAAAGAGAGACACGACCCTGGGATACTGGGATGTCTCTTCATCCAGTGTCTCTGTCAACACCTGGAACAGCTCGTGGGCGTCCTGATAAAGAAAATTATGACGTAAAATGCATTGCATAAGTGAGATCGGATAGGTTATGTAAATAGGTTGTGGCATGATGACCAGAAAGCCATGAACTTGCTGTATTTACATACAGAGTAAGCATTGCATTTATGGAGATTGTAACTATGGTTTAATTTGGCTTCGAGACATTCAAGAGTTGGACGTATATTTGCTAGTTTTTCTGGAATATATATATTCCTTTGTTATGATAAATATCAAGTTCAGAATATCACTACGTTTTTCATGAAAGCCCAGGAGGATTGTTTTCGGATCCATGTTTATAATAGTGGCTGTTTTGTTTAAATATTATAGTTATACTTGATACCTCAGGAAGCTCAGAACTCTTCAACTAAAGGCTGCCTACACAACTAGAGAGAATTACTTGCCTGTTCCTCTGGAGATATAACCCATCTTCTGAGCCGCAGAGCTGAAATTACCTCCCCTGGACTGTATGGATCAGTGCCATCCAGTGTGTTGTCATTGACAACTGGGAAAGAAAAAGTACATAGAATGCATGTAAAACATGATTTTGGCTTCAAAAACAGATACATGATATTTGGAGGTGCATCAAATTTTTATGGTGAGATGTTCACCCATAAGCTTCCATATGTTTAAAGGACATGATAATTTTATGTCATAATGACGTATTATAGTTAATTATGTAACAAGAATAAGAACATCCTGGATTCTCCAGTGTATCATATCTCCATTTTATTACGATATATAATTATTCTATTGTATATACTGTCCCTTCAAGACTGCAACAATCAAAATATCACCAGAATTTTCCTTACTTTTCATCTCAAATACTAGTAGCAATTCGTATAGCATAATAGTCCAGGCAAAGTTCTTGTGGCCATTTTTGATATTTTTGAATGAATTATTAAGCAAATCATGTTACAACATATATTAAGTGAATCCTTGCTGCCAAAAAACCCAGTTTCAAAACTTGAATCATTCAAATGTGTCTTTTGAGAGCAGATATATTATGAAGTATTTATATTTGGCGGCCATATTTGATTTAGGCAATTTTAACATATTTCCCACGCTGGGGTTCCTTAGGACTTGTGGTATGGTCTTCTAGGGACCTCATAGAAATGCACTGTTGTGAAAACATTTCTGTCACAATTTGTTCCAAGTTGAGTGCTAAATTGACCTTGAATGCCTGGACTATAAGGCCTGTCCTCACTGTCTAAATTGGTTGGTTTGTTTCTTACACCCGTACTCAGCAATGTTCCAGCTACATGGCGGTGGGTTTGTAAATAATCAGGTGAGGTGAGGTGAGGTGAGGTGAGGTGAAATTGGGTTTAACGTCGTGGTTTGAGAATATTTCGCTCATATGATGACGTGCATGCGTGTGTATGCGTATGTGCGGCTGCTTGTACTAGCCCAGATTTAAGCTGGTTTTATAGTGCTAGCCCACTGAGATACCATGCCGCAGTGAAGCATGAATACCCCACTCAGACACATTATACTGACTCAAGCCGACCAGTCCTTGTTGTACCCATTAATGCCGAGCGCCAGGCAGGGACCAACAAGTACCATATTTTATCGTCAATTGGTATGACGCGGTCGGGGATCGAACCCACGACCTTCCGCCCTCCGGGCGGACGCTCTAACCACTACACCACGGAGGGGGTACAATTGGGATATGATGCACTGTCTAAATACCATGAATACTCAAGGGAAAGAGCGTTTGTTTGCTTGTTGTTTAATTCCACAATCCAGTGATCAACAGTATGAGCATCGATAAACGCAACTGGGATACAACGACGGGGGAAAGAAAATCAGGAAAATAGAAATATTTACAACAGTCTATTGATAGATTTAAATGTATGTCCATGTGTGGCTATGACCATGAATGTACATCTATGCTGTTTGTTGGCTTGTTATTGAAATATTTAAATACACACTCTGCAACATTCCTGCTATATGATTGCAGTCTTTAGATAATCAAGTCAGGAGCAGACAATCCAGTGACTGACAACATGAATCAAGTGAGTGAGTGAGTTGGGTTTTATGCCGCTTTTAGCAATATTACAGCAACATCACAGTGGGGGACACCAGAAATAGGCTTCACACATTGAACCCATGTGGGGAATCAAACCAGGTCTTCGGCGTGATGAACATGAATCAAGGGTATGTACCGTATATGACCGTCTATAAGCCGAATTTTGAGGACCAAAAAGCAGTCTGTAGAAGGGGGTCGCCTTATCCATGGGTTACGCTTTAGTCAAACTTTTTCCAGGGGTAAGAAAACAACATCGTATCATCAAGCAAGGAACAAACAACAGAAGACTACTTTGTCAATAGAGACGTCAAATTTGCAACTAAACATCACTAGACAAGATTATTTACCTTTTAAGTTATAAGTTGTTTTGCTGGGCATTGTATTATTTGCAGGGAATAAGATTACAGTGTGTATCTGAGCCGGAAATAGCACTAAACATACCATTTTGACACTGATTTTAAGGGTCAAGTTTGGGGGTCGTCTTATCCATGGGGTTGTCTTATAGACGGTCATATACGGTATTAGAATAAAACTGGAATTTAACACACAGGATAATCAGGATGGTATGAGAATATTGTAGATCAGTAAATTTCAATACATCAGACTAACAATTTGAAAAGCAACGATGTACCATTTAAGACTTTCAATATTGATCCAGCAAGTAAATCTAGGACACTGCCAGCTTCGAATTCCTGGACAGGAAGTTGTGTAGCCAGCAAAGGACTGTGGGACATGCCGCCCAGGACTGAAGAACGGCATTCAGGAAGCAGGTATTGCCAAGATTCTCAAGACCTCGACAGTGGTCTGAAACAGAATGTGTGAGAGTTCAGTAGGACTCCACGGTATTACCGGTATATCGCCATACGCTTTTCAAACGGTACGTATTGCTAATTATTTTATGAGAACCCCTATATTCGGCAAAGAATACATTTGAAATTTTTTGCGATTATCTTTATGGTTTAAATTAAAATTTACACATACTTTCATTTCAAAACAAATGTTTTCCTTCATTATTCAAGGGCAAACGGCATCCTGGAATAATATAAATGGTATAACAAGCATTGTCACTAAGGTGACATAATCCCCCACCGCAAATTATCAAATCAAACTTATAAAGTAATGAAAGTTTAAGATGAAGTTAAATGTCAACAAAAACATGACCAGTCAACCTCTCTTGATATCTTGCTGTTTAGTTGTTCAAACACACACATATTTTCAACACTGACTTTGACCTTGACATGAATGTCATAGTGTATGAAATATGCAAAACTAGTACTAAAGAAATTGCTTATTGAAAACATTCAAGGGAGGTCTTGAAAGTCTATGAAGAAAATCCAGAGACCCGCTCTTAAAATATCTTGCTGACAATTCATGTTAACATCCTGTAATCTTCAAAGTGTCGCCGCGGACCCTAAAAAATTATGTGAAGGTCACCAAAATTGACTGGGCCCTGGGCCTTCCCTAGATGAAGCTTGGTGACAAATATGAAGAAAATCCACTCAATTTTTTGATATCTTGATGACTATCTTAACATGCAATTTAACATTCTGAAATCTTCAAAGTGTCTCTGTGACCTTGAAAATTAAGTGAAGGTCACCCTGGATGAAGCTTGGTGTCAAATAAGAAGAAACTCCAGTGAATGGCTCTTGAGGTATCACGCTGACAAGCATAACATGTAGGTTAGTATGCTGAAATCTTCAAAGTGTCTCTGTGACCTTGAAAATTAAGTGAAGGTCACCAAAATTGAATGGGCCCTGCGCCTTCCCTAGATAAAGCTTGGTACTGTTAAATATGAAGAAAATCCAGTGAATGGTTCTTGAGATAGCTTAACGGAGGTAAAACGTTAAAGTCCCCTTTGTGACCTTGAAATGAAGGTCAAGGTCACCAAACCTGACTCGCACCTTCCTTTTTACTGTGATGAACCTAGGTACCAAATATGAAAAGAATCCAGTCAACTGTTCTTAAGATATTCCAATTCGTGACGCACGGATGTAAACGGACAGACGGATGCAGCCTATTAATATAACCCCCTGCTTCAAGGGGATAAAATGAAACTAGAATCCATGACTATGCAACCTTATTATGCGATAGCTATTATGAGAACCATAACATATATAGAGAATACTATACGAGGTCGTTACATCACGTTTAATTATAACGAACGAGTGTCCTTCCTATGGTATCTGACCGGTTTAAAAAACGAGGTCGGATAACATAGGAAGGTCACGAAGTTCGTGATAATTCGTATGTAATGAGACCGAAAGTGTGGTATTTTATTTATTACCCACGTCTTACATGCATTAAATTGACCAAATAGCCTATTTTGTTATATATTTATGGCTTCAAACTGAAACCGGGTTCGTGAAGAGGTTGCGGAAGAGTTTTGTACTGTAGTACAATATTTGCATGACGCCACACTGTAATGACGCCACTGCCTTGGTAACCGACGCCACGATGCATGTGAGTTGTCATCACCTCGTACAGCCTCCTACAGTAAACTACTCCGTAGCACCCGTTTCTTGGTTTGCAGTTGCTTGATTCGCTAACATCACTGGTGGAAACATTGCGCTTTGTTTTTGACGGATATAATGTCTCAGTTCGACTCACAATTAAACAGCTGCACGGCAACATTCGCAATGTTTACATTCCCACAATGCATTTGAGTTGTAGAATGAATGAATTCACGTATTTGTTATAAATGAAAAATAGTTATGTCAGAATGTGACCTAATTGAGAGGTCATTGGTTATCCAATCAAACTGTTAGAATCTCAGGTCAAGTCGTTCACGACACAGGTCAACGTATGACGCACGAGATTAGTATGCAACTACCCATACGCTGACCACGTGGGTAATAAATTGCAATATGTATCGCAATATGGGTACCTGTTTTTGCAATACTTTATTTGCCAATACACAGTCCTAAAGTTCAGTCTACTTTCATCAGCATTTCAGTTACCAGAAAATCATGGACCCTTGTCTTAATTATGTCTAGTGGGAGAAATTCTGATTTGATCAAGCTCTGAGATATCTTCCATTTCTTTGCATTGCATAAATTTGCATCCAGTACACAATAAAATGTAGAGAGTGGATACAGAAAAACAAAAATACCATGTCCTGAGATATCCACAAAAATATCAACATGTACAGAGCACTAAAAGTGGGTGTTCTGTTATTTCAGAGACCATATACTGATATGGTCTCTGGTTATTTCAACATTCAATCATGACCTTGTCCACATTCATTCCAAGCACTACCAAAGGACTCTGAATTAAGCAATCTATTCGTTGGTTTCACCATTACTTTTCAACTCTAATACTACCTGCATGCGCAGAGCGTATTCTAGAAAAATATCCACTGGCATGCTTCCGGTTTGGTACGTATGTTTATCGATAGTGTAAACACTCCAAAGAAAACAAAATATCAAAACAAATATATAGTTTTATGTCAAATACAAAAATCAACTGATCCCAAATTGATTTATGAAACAGAGGCCGGGATTAGTTAAATAAATAGCTTCATTTATGTTAACAAGCTCTTGTATAAAGACATCTCACCACCACCGTCCTTCCCGCACATCCCCTTCTCACAACTAAACAAACACATCTCTGATGGAATTGCAACCAAAATAGGACATCAATTATTGAAAAGCAGAGGCAAATGGAAGTATGTACTCAGCTATGAACAGTTGTCACAACGTAAATAATTTTCATAACAGCTTTTATTTAGCGTGCATTTTTTACACTATCGATAAACATACGACCAAACTGGAATCATGTCAGTGGATATTTTTCACACGCTCTGCGCATACGCACAGCGAGTTGAACAGTAATGTGAAACCAACGAATTACTGCAGTTAATTACAATATGAAAGGTGGCCTATATCCTTCGCTACTGTGAAACTTCCTGCACTTATCTTCAATTGCTTATCTTGATATCCTTTTCTGGGGCAATGAGATAATAATAAGCAAGCTGCATTAAAAACTGACTTCTCACAGTTGTGATTTAATTATCGCCATCATTATTTTTCCATTACAAGTTGCATTCAAACACAAATTAAACAAGACTCGCGTCTACTTCCGTAAAGTTACTTGTCCATGAACAATGTCAACGAGTAACAAAACCAAGGTATGTGGCCTATAATCACGTGGAACAGATGTTCTAGTTACCAACCTAATATACACGAGATTATATTCCTGACGCAACGAGACACTCAATGTGTACTGAAGGTACATGTGTATAGCAAATAGATGTCAAGGGCAGGATTGGTCCTGAGGATTGTAATTGTATGGGCATTGAAATTAACTGTTTTAATCGAATATTCACCACTGACACATGAAGATAATAACAGTGACACCACATCGTCAATGTGATCATAATGTCATCAATCGACAAACAAACCATGTTTCTGTATATGTTACACTGTAGTGTAGGTACAATAATGCCAATTTACAGGTCGTATTTTCAAGAAAATTCACCTTTTCTCTTGGGTTTCTTTCTCTCGCCTGGACCCCAGAAAACGTAAACACTTGCTAAAACTGCGGCAGCCGCTCCACCTACTATTGCAAGTTGTTTAGAAAACATAACACAGTCCAAAGTAAAGATTTACGCCTCACACACGGCAAAATTGAAACGTAAACAACAATCACCCATCACACCATCGTTCCACCATGTTGGACTAGTCCAATATGAGGTGAGCTAGGCTGTTCAGTATTACATCATACCTTGTTAATCTTAAAAAAAATATGTGTCTTTTCACGAAACCTTATAATTTACTACGAATTCTATTCTCCTGCTGTAATGTACAAATTGCATTAACTCTTTTCAGTAACACAATATATAAACTATTTAACCATTTGACCCCTATTCCGTGTTCGTAGTAGTAACTTCCACTTCCAGGAAGTGCTTGTTATAAATATTGCCGTTAGAGGGCGTTGTTTACAGTATGGCTGTCAAAAATGACAACCGAAGAAGCTACACTCTGTCCTAAGGTAAATCGTGGTCATGTCGATGTGTTTTTTAAGTAAACTTTGATCCACAGATGTTAAGTTAATGTCAGCCGGGATGTTAAACCATGAATTAGTTAGGCAGCCACATTCCGAAGACTACAAACGAGGAATTTAAACCTAAAACTAAAGCCAAGGCAACTGTCAAAATCTACCGTTCAGTATTTTCACAAATTTTTAGAAATAAATGTCAATGATATTGCTAAATTGACAAAATATATAGAGGTAACGCATAAGTATAACTGAAGATAACATTAATGCCTATTGTCTATTATCTACCCTTTTACGACGGTACAGGCTAATATGATTTCTAAGCATTTTATATGCTGACCTAACATTATCAAGGTTAGTAAGGAATATTTTAAGATATTTTGCTTTCGTTTACATAAATTCTAACAATCATTTAGGAACATGAAAAGAAACAGATTGCAGATAACTGTTTGGTTCAAATAAGACAGTTATACAGTATTTGACATATGTAAAGAGGTCTGTATAATGTGTGTGCTTTTTGAAAATTCTATTTTTAATATCTTTAAGTGTAAGATCCCAGTAACCAATATTAACATACCCAAGGATGCCTGGACTTTCCTCAGTATCAAACACATGCTGTACAACCCACAGTCAGTGTTGGAAATTGACATGACTTCCCCCATCGCCCCACCCGTGAAGATCCAGGTTTGACTTGATCTTCAGTAACCCATGCTTGTCGTAAGAGGCGGTTGGTCAGACTCGCTGACTTGGTTGACATATGTCATTGTATCCCAGTTGCTAGATTGATGGTCATGCTGTTGATCACTGGATTGTCTGGTCCATACTTGATTATTTACAGACCGCTGCCATATAGCTGGAATACTGCTGAGTGCGGCGTAAAACTAAACTCTTTCACTCACTCTCGTGAAATGTAACTATGAAATGACTGTGAAATGTCACTAACAAATTGCCTGCCTTTAAATTTGATGCTATGTCTTTTTCTGCTTTTAAATCACAATGTAATGAATATAAGTTTTTGAAATAAAACTCATTCCGAGTATGTACTTACAATGTTTATTAATGCAAACTTGTTCTCGTCACTATATGGCTGGAATAATGCCGATGTGACGAAAACCCCAACTCAACAACCATCAACAACAACATTCACTCACTCCTCCATCGCCCCAAGCGTAAGTCATTATGTTTAATCAATTAACGTTGAAATGTGCTAAGGTTCCACTTACTTGATATGTGTATTTTGTGTCACACAAGATATTATGAGCTGATATAAGTATCGTGATTTGCTGTGTTAATAATCCAGTTTTCCTTATACAGACAACAGCCATATCAGACGATTATGATGTCAACTGGCATGATAAACTTGGAACTGGGATAAATGGACCTGTGAGGTGAGAAAGCATGGTATATTCAAACAAGGGAGTTGTACTTGGCTATGGTTAAATCACATTAAAAAACCTGAATGTAGGTGTATTCCATGGTAAACAATCCTCTCAGTTATCTCATAATGTTATTAGTCTCAATGTAATATTTCAAGATAACTTCTTGATTACACCAGGCCTGTTTCCCCTCATATGTATAGTCCGTTTGGCTCAAAGGCGGACCGATGAATTGCAATCTAACTCGAAAACTTATAAACATAAAATAAACATAAAATACTCAATGAAACCAGAGACCATATAATATGGTCTCTGATGAAACACTGATCATAATGAAAACGTCAGACCAACTCTGAGAGGTTTTTGCAGAATTTATGCCCTAAAAATAAAAAAGTTGTTTAACAAACTATCATTATGATATCGACACAGTTCACTATTTGTTACGAGGGGAGAGTGCAGAGAAAGCGACAGCCGGGTGTGCGAGAAAGGATGGAGACGGCACAGCACCGGTTAATGAATCAATAACTTGGTCGGCACTTGTGCACGTGCTTCTCTAACACCTGGCTGTCCCTTTCTCTGCACTCCTCCTCGTGAATAAATAGTGAACTGTGTCAATATTTTAATGATAGTTTGTTAAACAACTTTTTTAATTTTAGGACATAAATTCTGCAAACAAATCACAGAGTTAGTCTGATATTTTGATTATGATCAGCGTTTCATTGAGTATTATATGTTTATTAGTTTTTGAGTTAGATTGCAATTCATCGGTCCGATTTTGAGCCAAAGGCACTATAGTTATGCTGAATGTTGTGTGGTATCAATGTGGCATAGAAAGTGAAAAATCATAAAACAAGAGATGATCACCACACCACCAGGCCATTGTATTAAAAAACTAGTGGATATTCTACTTCAGAAATGATCCTCTGTATCCATTGCTAGCCAATGAGAACTTGCTTATGTTTGCTTGGTTTTAATTTGATTAGTCACTGATTATGCATCGTTGTGTTTGAAGCTGGAGACAATTCTTCATGCTGTTTACCACTGGTTTCCCTGAGCCAGATTGGTGACTATCTACAGATGGAATACAGCTGAGAACATTCATTCACTGTATTTGTTCAGCGGAATATTTATTGTGGATTTTGTGCTGATTCACAGGTCTTGTAGGCACAAAGTATCTGGTGTGAAATATGCCCTGAAGAGTATCTTGGACTCATCGAAAGCCCGTCGTGAAGTTCACATCCACTCGTTGTGTAGAAGTCATCCCAACATCGTCGGTTTGCAGGATGTTTATGCAAACAACGTCCGCTTTTCTGGGGATGATGAGTCCAAATAAGTCAGTCCAGAGGCGGATCGAGAGGTATTAAAATTCGGCGTATGCGTAGTAAGTCGTGGTCGCGTATCACCCTTCTCCCGGAAAAAAGATTCCCAGCGAAGCATTTCCCCCTAACCTTTGGAGTTCATTATTATGTGTATCCCCCTATTCTCCAAAATCCTGGATCCACCCCTGATGTCAATTGCCTTTAAGCGTCGAAAGACATTGGTGTTACTGGTGACAAGAGCATTGCCAAAGAGCAAACATCACGCGACCCGCCGAAGTCCGCATGAATGAATGATGAGTTTAACAAAGGTTTTCATTGATATCACTTTTTGTGTGTCTTTTGGCAATTTCTTTCAAATATGATACTGGTAGTCAGTGAATGGTACCTAGTAGGATGAAATGGTATTATAACTGTAAATCCTCTGGGGCCTCATAAGCCAGCTTTGGGAGCTTAGAATGAAATCAAGTATGCTCTGATCGATTGACCTGGGTAATAATACACATGGTACTCTGAGCATGCTTGTATAAATGGATTAGGTGCTTTGCAAATAGCCATTATGTGCTGTTGTTGCACTTCTTCTTCTTCTTCTTCTTCTCCCTGTGAAGGTCCGGCTTAAAACAGGTTAAAATTAACCTTCAGTAACCCATGCTTGTTGTAAGAGGCGACTAACGCGATAGGGTGGTCAAGCTCGCTGGCTTGGTTGACACATGTCATCAGTTCCAAATTGTGCATATCGATGCTCATGATGTTGATCACTGGATTGTCTTGTCCAGACTCGATTATTTACAGATTGCCGCCATATAGCTGGAATATTGCAGAGTGCGGTGTAAAACTAAACTCACTTACTCACTCTTCTTCTTCTCCTGTTTCTTCTTCTGTTCTTCTCCAATTCTTCTCCTCCCTCTTTTACTTCTTCATCTTCTTCTTCTCCTTCTTCTCCTTTGTACCCTGATTGTATAAAGTTGTTGCATTTGAAGAATTTAATACGCATACATTAAACTGGTTATCATACATCATAGGGACTATCCTAATATGTTTGACAGGTATTTTTCAGGGCTTGCACCTGATGGATATACCTGTCAGCAACATGCACAATACCTTTAAAAATCATTCTAAACCCTGCACATAATTAGAGTGTGTCACTAAATCATATTCATGAATGTAGTAATGCAGACCTTGTCACTCTTCTGTAGCAACCATGACAAAGACAGCTTTGATTCCCTTCATGATTTCTTTCATTGTCAAATGTCAGGAATATTGCTAAATCAGCATAAAGACACACTAGTCTAACAGTCTGTTCAGTTTATGCTACTTTGATCAATAATGCTGTGCATACAGAAGATCATTAGGCCCAGTTGAATATTTACATTAATTAATGGTTATTTGATGATTTCTCTCACTGTTACCTTGATTTCTGGGATTTATGACGCAAGTGACTGCAACTGTACAGTACAAATCTGCAATAGCAGTGTGAACAGTCAATGACAGCAAGCCCTTTCCTTTCAGACCCTGGGGCGATGGGGTAGCCTAGTGGTTAAAGCATTCGCTCATCATGCCGAAGACCCGGCTACGATTCCCCATATGGGTATAATTTGTGAAGCCCATTTCTGGTGTCCCCACTAGAAATATTGCTGGAATATTGTTAAAAGTGGTGTTAAACTAAACTCACTAACTCACTCACTTTCAGACCCCAGTTGCTGCTGGTGCTGGAGCTAATGGATGGAGGGGGAGCTGTTCGATCGCATCATAGAGGAACAGTGCCTCACGGAGCGAGAATGTGCTGGCTATCTCAAACAGGTAGTTACTGTCACAAAGCCATTATTCTGTTGCTAGTGATTGCCTGATTAAACTGGTATGACATGAAGACAATTTGGGGAGCTTTACAGATTTTTGTCTCCCAAATTTGGTAGATAAAATAGTTTTTGTTTTTCATTTCCAATTTCCAAAATGTTAAGTAGGTAGAAAAAACCCAAAGAGGTTCTATAAATTTCTGTGTTTCAACCAAGTTTTTAAAATATTTATTGCAACAGTGATTCTTTTATATACTATTTGACTATTTTCTGGTCTGCTGACTAATATTCTTAATGGATACTTTCTGCTTATTTGTAAATGTTGTCTCATCCTTAAAGTGAGAAACTCAAACAGGAATACATGTTTCCAGTAGATTTTGTTTTAATTTTGAAGGCAGTAGCAACTCAGCTAGCATACATTGACAACATTTTTGGATACAGATGTCATCTTATGATGATTGTGTTATTGACAATTTAATAAATGTTCAAAAAACAAAATAGAAGTTTCCATGTGTCCATGTATTTTTTTCAGATAGCCGAGGCTGTCCATCACTGCCATAGCCTGAATATAGCACATAGAGACTTGAAACCAGAAAATCTACTTCTAAGTAATACCACAAAGGTTTGTGTATTTCATATCATTCATTCAGTGAAATACATTATCATTGACTATGTATCGCTGGGGACCTCCAGGGTAATAAATTCGACTTATCGATGTACTATACTCATAGGTATGCATGTACGGCTTGGGGCAATGATGATCCAGTCCTAATTCCTCCGCCCTAAGCATTTTATTATCTCAGGATTTCCATATAAAGCTAAGTTGGGCACCTTATCAATCACAGTCTCATTTTCTCTACTCAGTGATTTCTGTAAAATCACTAAACTTGCCTTTTTGAACTCATTGATGCAATGGCTCTGAAGAAGTAGAAGGAGTTCTTTCATATAGTTCAGTTTGCTTCACATCAATCAACTTCATTACTGATTTCGAAAAATTATGTATACAAGATTGCTGTTGTTTCGTCTCATGGGACCAAATTTCCTTCTCGAGTCATGTCGTGTGTATTTATGAGATCTGATTGGCTAACTGGAAATCAAATGAGACAAGGGATAATAAAATCATCGGGGACCGAAGTTATTGGATGCATGCATAATATAGTGGACACTGTTATCTGACATCATACCCTGGATTTGACTGTACATTATCACTTGACTCTGCAGCCTGAGAAAGTTGGGTGTCATTTGATTCACTGCTTGTTTATCTTTTGGACAGTTTGAGTTGAACTTATGTATCTACAAGATGCTTGATAACAAGAAGTAGCATCATAAACATTATATTGACTCAGAAAAGTTTAAATGAAAATATAAACACTTGCCATTTCAATCCCTTGATGTATGTTCATGGAGCTTGTACTTACGGCTAAGAACATTTTGGTAAAATTTGACCAACCAAAAATATAATAAGGGGTATTTGTGATGAATCCAGGTTAAATTCTCATTATACCTGCATTATTTGAAACTGTGAGCATGAAAACATGGTCATAAAACTCTGCTATAGAATAGGTCTCAGTGTCACTGGAATTATCTCCCTTTGACCATTTCCTTTCTGAGCTGACATGAAGTGTGTTTGGAAGCCTGGATCCATTCCTGTCCTCAGTAACTTTATTGATTGGAGATTGCTTATAACATCAACCACTGGATTGTCTGGTCCAGACTCAGTCTATTACATGCTTGCGGTGATATATGTGGAATACTGCGAAGTGCAGTATGAAACATTATTGCTAAAATACATGGAATTATGAAACGGCCCTCCTATTATCAGAAATTTGCGGGCCGCTGCAGATGATATTGGACCGCTCAACCTTAACGACGAGCCACTATCAGTTCTGTTGTCAAGTGTCGTCATATTGGGTGCGTCGGTTCATTCGACATTAATTGGCTTTCGACTGGCAGATATTCTGGGTCAAACAAGTCAAAGCAACCCGAATTCCGCTTTAAATAGCAGTAATACTGGATTTCTTGCTGGTGCTAACCTTAACAATTGCACTATTAACTTTGTTGTTGGACCAAAACCAAACACTGACATGGTTTGGCATGTTGCAAAAGGCCAAGGTCGAATATCGTCACTTTCTGTTGTGACGTCACTTGAATTGTTCGATGACGTAATTGCATTCGGGCAGTCAACTCCGTCAGAAGTTGGTTTTGAGTAAACTTACAGTCAAATTCCTTCATTGTTTCCTTTTTCTTTTCAACACAAATTCCATGTGTTTTAGCAATTCGTACGGTAATGCTATTTGTAAGGGCATTATCATTTGCAGAAGCCCTCGGTCTTTTTCAACTGCCCTCCTTCGTCGGGCAGTTAATGGAAGACCTCAAGCTTCTGCAAATGATAATGCCCTTAAAAATAGCATTACCCTTATCATATATGAGCATTGCATTTATGCATTTGTGTCTCGTTATAGGAAGCCACTGTGAAGCTCTCCGACTTTGGTTTTGCCAAGTTTGATGATGGTGACCTGAAAACACCCCACTTCACACCCTACTATGTTGCTCCTCAGGTGAGAATCTCTTTGATCTGAACCGTCTCAGTGTAGGTCTGGGACGGGTACTCGGGTACCCGAATCCAGGTCGGGTACAGCTGGAATCGAGTCCTATTTCTAGGAATCGAGTACCCGGAAAAGGGGAGAACTCTGTAATTGCAAGGGCAGATAATAACTTGTCCTTTTCATTATTGACGTAACACACATTTGCATCATTTGTATTGTCCGATTAATGGAGGTTATTATGAACGACAGTAAAATATATGAGCATGAGCAGTGAGGAGTCAAGTTGCAGTACAAGCGGTTACGAAAAGTCCTGTGTTTTAACGAGGAATAGTGTTACTCTCTATATTTGTTAAATTGGCGTAAATTAAATAGCCCAAGTTCAGTTTCAGGGTATTATTGCCATCAGTTCAAGTTTTCTATAAAAAGCTCTGTCAACTCGTGATTGAATATTCAGAATGTTGACAGAAGCGCTTTATTCCTTACATTTCCGGGTACTCGATTCCGATTCGGGTAAGTACATGCTGGTACTCGATTCCATTATTTCCTACCCGTCCCAGCCCTATCTCAGTGAAATATACAGCTCAGAGGTTTGTGATAGACACTTGCATTATGTCAGTAGTGAGGATATGGAGTAGGCTAAGTATAACAGGAATAGTAAGGTATGCGAGGTTTCAAACCTCTATGCTGTTAAAATAGCAATTGTATGGTTTTTAGATTAAGCTTAGATTGTCAGTGGACTCACTTAGAAATGATATTGTTTAACCTAACTTATGTGTAGCAGGTGATTAATGTACATTTGAACAACTACCCACAAGACGAACGAATGAAAGAACGGACGGACGAATGAAAAATTAACGAAGATTTATGTATCATGTGAAACCCAACCAAAACATTACTGTCCTGAAATTTAAGAGTTCAGGTCATGCTTTAGATGAATTATCTCCCTTTGTCCATATTCTACATTGCAATTGGTTATGATCAGATTTGACTGAAATGACGTTCACACAACTTCACAGAGTTCAAAGATGGACTAAAGATGTTCTTTCAGTGGCCACATGTATATTCCAAAAGACATGCCTTAACAAGCTACCAGTTTACAACTTATCAAGCAATGTTATTTGTGATTACAAGCTGGTTTCCACCAGCTGTACCTAATGTGAATGATTATATAAGAGTAAATCCTTACTATAGTCTGTTTGGCTCAAAAGTGGACCGATGAATTGCAATCTAACTCAAAAACTAATAAACATAAAATACTTCTAAGATGCCTAGCGGTTAGAACAATCGAAAAAAAAATACATTATCAGACAATAAAGGTATAGTTTTTGATGGCGTAACAATTGAATGGCGTTATCCGTCACTCGCCATTCTAGTGTGCCCCTAAATGTCGAACCATTTTACATTACGTCACAATGTAGCGGCGTCCGCGATGCATGTCAGTTGTCATCGCCTCGTCACGACCTCCTACAGTAAACTACACCGTTGCATCCAGTTTCTTGGTTTGCTGTTGCTTCCGCGCAGCTAACATCACTGGTGGAAACATTACGTTTATGTTTTCACGGCGGTTAAAATGTGTCATTTAGACTCACAAGTTTTCAGCGACCGCGGTAGCGTTAAGTAATGTTTACATTCCCACAATGCAATTGTGGAATGTAAACGACTACTCAACTTCCTCTGGATGTACTGATCTAAACTTACGCTGGTAGTAGAAATGCAGCGTTCATATTGCCCCATATGGTTTACGTTAATGACAGATGTAATTAAAATAATTCAGAGAAGATATTTAATCGAGCGTAAACCGTCATCAAACTGTTATCATTTGTTTTCTGGTAGCGTTAGATCTTAGCGTAGGGGGCAGACACATCAATAGAACAGCGGCCAGTTAGCCCTGTCGCGAGGATTCTTAATTTAGGTCACCGACACCGTCGTTTGTTTTCTGCCTTAAATTAATCGTAATTATCTTTAGAAAGTATTAAATTTGGCATCTTAGAAAGAAATACAGTTAAGCCCTACCACCATGTATAGTGTAATAAAACACACTTTAAGCCCTGAACTATTATAGCTTTTGTGATTGTTATGTCACATATTGATACAGCTTTGTGAAATGTATACATCTGTGCATAAAATAAGCACCACCCTGTATTTTTACCAATTAATTTTGTCTGAAATGAAATTGTAAACACTTTCCCAAAAATAGCATTTATAATTTGATAGAGCAAGCATTTAACATTTCAAATATGAAAACATCATTGAAATTACCATGTACTTTAATTAGGATAATTACCTATATTTAAAACAGCTGTTTTTCTGTCCTAAAACAAGTTACCTTATTTTGAAAAGTGAAAGTAATAATTGATTGTTGTGTGGCCTATAAATTTGTTATTTATTGTGAATGGATGAAAGTTTGTAAACTAAGATTGAGGAAAATTAACAGTCAAAACTAAAAAAAAGGAAAATTTTAAAATGCAGTAAAAGTTGCTTTACAAACAAAACAAACAGATTTTAGCTGTAATTATCAGTATCTGACAAGGAGAAGTGTTTATTCATTACAAAAAACTCAAAATCATAAAAGATTTATTCCAAAATCTTATTAATGTGGCCTTTTTTCAGTTTTTGTCAATTAGCAATCTGAATTGTTGGAAAAAGGTCTGAATCTTTGATATTCAGCTTGTTCCTGGTTATGCCTAATTAAACTTTAAAGCTTACTTGATGTGTTAATGTCATCTTGGTATATAACAGAGTTGTTATTTTTAGTCAAAACTTAATTTAATCATGTAGTTTGAGCAGGAGAGGAATAGTTATTTTGGGTAAAAATTCAGTCCCATCACATTTTCATCAACATATTCTTTCATAAATAATAGAAAAAGTTATGGTATTTGTAAAACTGTCAGTGGATAAAGCTTCTTTAACTGCAGGTTGATTAAATTGATGGCTATACCCTAACTTTTTTGTAGCATCACATCTTATTTTCAAAATAGGGTAGTGCTTGATTAATGCAGGGGTGTATATTTTATGACACTTGGGTGATTGTGAACATCTTGTAGTTTTTCCTCTTCAGTCAAATCACTGTGTGTTTGTTTGTTGCTGTCTGGAGGTGTGATATGTTGACCCTGTGCATCCCACTAAGTGACTTCTCTGTCCCCGACCTCTCTCCTCCTCTGGGGCGGTGGGGTAGCCTAATGGTTAAAGAGTTCGCTCTTCACGCTGAAGCTCCCGGTTCAATTTCCCACGTTGGTACAATGTGTGAAGCCCATTTCTGGTGTCCTCCACTGTGATATTGCTTGAATCTTTTTAAAAGTGGCATTAAACCATACTCACTCACTCACTCACTCACTCACTCACTCACTCACTCACTCACTCTCATTCACTCACTCACTCACTCACTCCACCCATCCACCCACCCACTCACTCACTCACTCACTCACTCACTCACTCACTCACTCACTCACTCACTCACTCACTCCACCTACTCACTCACTCACTCACTCCACACACTCACCCACTCCTTCCCTCCCTCCCTAACGCTCACCCACTTACCGGATGTTGTTTACCCCCCAGAGCTGTGACATGTGGAGTATGGGCGTGATCCTGTACATCATGTTGTGTGGCTACCCTCCCTTCTACTCCGAGACACCAAGTCGCTCCATCACTACTGAGATGAAAAGGAAAATCCTTAATGGTGATTACGAGTTTCCCGAACAAGACTGGGAGAGGATATCAGAGTCAGCTAAGGACGTCATCCGTGGGTGAGGAGTTTAAAAGGGTGTACAATTGCAAATACATTTATCTCCAGAGGAAAAGAGATTCATTATGCTTCATGGATATCATTATTGAAAATCAGAACTTCAAGGCTTTGGTAGAAAGCATATCTCATTTTAAGGAGATAAAACCAACTTGCACCTGGTGCAATCTTAGGTAATAACCTTGCTGCACCAGCAGGTTGCACCTGGTGCAATCTTAGGCAATAACCTTGCTGCACCAGCAGGTTGCACCTGGTGCAATCTTAGGCAATAACCTTGCTGCACCAGCAGGTTGCACCTGGTGCAATCTTAGGCAATAACCTTGCTGCACCAGCAGGTTGCACCTGGTGCAATCTTAGGCAATAACCTTGCTGCACCAGCAGGTTGCACCTGGTGCAATCTTAGGTAATAACCTTGCTGCACCAGCAGGTTGCATCTGGTGCAATCTTAGGTAATAACCTTGCTGCACCAGCAGGTTGCACCTGGTGCTCAGTATAAAATTACAGTCATCCCTCGCAATAACGCTCTTTGCGATACAATGCAGGGGTGGAAATAACCCATTGCCCGACGCACGAGTCCAGTGTTTTTTTCTGTCGGGCAAGCAAATTTGTATATCACCGGTATCCAGATGACTTTCCAATATGAGTTATGCTGTTTATTTAAAAAATCAACAAGAAAACGGACGGTATAGTGGAAAAATTATCAGAGCAAGTGATTTTACATGTGCCACTGTACCGGAGTACACTAGCAATCTTAAAGTTATTTCCACCCCTGCCATGGTTTTGGTTAAAACGTGGGGCAATCTGTGGCTCCCATAAGCGATCACACATCTTCACATCATCTGAAATAGCCTATCAACAAATCAGCATTTGTCAGATGCTTTATAAACATTCAGGGTGTTACTGAAGGAATAAAACTTTACAAGAAAGAGTGAGAAAACTCTAGGATAAGATGCTTGATGGGCATTTAGAAGCTGGAAGGTAACATAACAATGTATGGTATGGATTTACAACTTCTTAATATTTCCAACACGACATTTCTGGGCTACTTCTTGCCCCTTCATCAGGTGAATGACAGGTATATTTCGCTTGTATCATATTCTGTCATTCACCTGATGAAGGGGCAAGAAGTAGCCGCGAGACATTGCGTTGTAAAAATTAAAGAAGTTGTAAATCCATACCATACATTGTTATGTAACTGTAGGATACCTTACCTTGCTTGTACACATGCATTGAGGGTGAAACTGTCTGCTAAATTTCAGTCTTCTCCATGTGGATCCCTCTCAGCGTATGACAATCTCAGATCTCCTACATCACCCCTGGTTGCATGATGCCTCCGACAACAAACTACACTCTCCGGCAGTTATTGCCAGCAAGGTTTGTCACTGTTACAATTTAACTACCATTGGAGGGGGGATGTCACAAGTCACAAAGTGGTCTCCATGCTACATTTAGTTAGACGTAAGTCCATTTGAAGGACGAAACTGAAAGCTGACATAGTGCTAAGATCGTTTTCTTGAACGAGCTGAAGAATTATTAAGTTTTCTTTCAACATATACCCCTAGTAGGAAGTGGTGTAACCTAGTGGTTCAAGTGTCCGCTCGTCATGCCGAAGATGAGGTGAGGTGAAATTGGGTTTAACGTCGAGCTTGAGAATATTTCGCTCATATGACGACGTGCATGCGTGTGTATGTGTATGTGCGGCTGCTTGTACTAGCCCAGACTTAAGCTGGTTTTATAGTGCTAGCCCACTGAGATACCACGCCGCAGTGAAGCATGAATACCCCACTCAGACACATTATACTGACTCCGAGCCGACCAGTCCTTGTTGTACCCATTAAAGCCGAGCGCCAGGCAGGGACCAACAAGTACCATATTTAACGTCTTTTGGTATGACGTGGCCGGGGATCGAACCCGCGACCTTCCGCTCTCCGGGCAGACGCTCTAACCACTACACCACGGAGGTGGTCTCGTCACGCTGAAGACCCGGGTTCAAGTCGTCACATTGGTACAATGTGTGAGGCCCATATTTTGTGTCCCCCGCCGTGATATTGCTTGAATATTGATAAATGCTGCGTAAAACCATACTCACTCACTCACTACACCCCTAGTTGAAGTTCTAAGTATATAGTGTCATGTCTGGCTTGCGTGTTGTTTTCAGATTAACACTCTATGCTGAAATATTTGAGCTTGTAACATCAGCCTGTAAATTATCAAATCTGAACCAAACAAACCAGGGATTAATATCATGAGCAACACAAAAACTTCAGGATATGGTAACTCAACATATTTTGGCAATGATGACAGTTCTGTTTTTGATCCACAGGAAAGTTTCGAAGATGTTAAGATTGCCCATGCAGAACATCTGACCAAGATGAGGATGTCCGAGAACCAGCTGACGTTGAAACCCCTCGTTCAGGCAGACAATCCTATCATCAGGAAGCGAAAGAGAAGGTAGTGGATTTTCATAAATGTGTATGTTTAGTAAAACGAAATGAAGAGTAAACTTTGACACTTTGTGAGAAAGGACCTCTTTAGTTCAGGGGGCGATGAGGTAGCTTGGTGGTTAATGCGTTTGCTTGTCAGGCCAAAGACCTGGGTTCAATTCCCGACATGTGTTCATTGTGGGAAGCTCCCTGCCATGATATTGCTGGAATATTGCTGAAAAAGCGGTGTAAAACAAAACGCGCTCACTCCTCTTTAGTTCAGTGCCCCATTCAGCATTGGTATTTTAGCGCTGAATTGATTGTAATTCCTATACTTTAACATAGGTTTACAATCATTGTACTGCTAATACTGCTTTGAGGAAAGGCCCTAAAAACCTTCTACCAAGGATGGGGGCGGTGGGGTAGCCTAATGGTTAAAGCGTTGGCTCGTCATGCTGAAGACCCGGGTTCGAATCCCCACAAGGGTACAATGTGTGAAGCCCATTTCAGGTGTCCCCCCGCCGTGATGTTGCTGGAATATTGCTAAAAGCGGCGTAAACCCAAACTCAGTCAGTCAGCCTACCAAGGATGATCTTGTATGGTATCTTGTTCGGCTGACACAAAACAGCATTAATCTGAACTTGTATGGTCGGCCACACACAGAAACGCATGGAAGTGCACATGTGTGCATGCACACACACATACATGCACGTCACTCTGAATTTGCAATAATCTTGAAGTTCAACCATATTTCACCTCAACTCACACTTTATCAAACTTTAAACTCTGACCAAATTAATGAAACATTTTTCAGGATAAATATTTTTAGATATCTTAGTATAGAATCTTCAGACACTGTCCGGTGAAATTGTATTGTTGAAACTCTCATCATGATCATGTCTATTATGTAGCTTATTGAAACAATTTGTCACCAGGATAACTTCAGGGACCGATGTTGAGATGGAGGAGGAAAGTCAAGGGAAGCGACTCTCAATAGACAACACTGGCAACAGTGTCAGGTGAGTGGACCAACATCATCACGCTTCGACATCACGTTGATTAAGCTCTTCTTTCTTAAATATTGTAAAGACCTAATTTTAAGGAAATTGTTTCTGAAAGAAGAAATAATAAGATGTTCTGAGTGGTGTGCTAACTGTGAAATTTCCAATTTACCATTTTTAGTTGCATATTTTTAATGATTTTGCATGAAAATGAATACTAATCATACCCAGTCCTCCCTCCACATCTCTCTCTCTCTCTCTCGCTCTCTCACTCTCTCTCTCTCTCTCTCTCTCTCGCTCTCTCTCTCTCTCTCTCTCTCTCTCTCTCTCTCTCCTCCCTCCCTCCCTCCCTCCCTCCCTCCCTCTCTCTCCGGGTTCCATTCCCCACATGGGTACTATGTGTGGCACCCATGTCTGGTGTCCCCGGCCATGATATTGCTGGAATATTGCTAAAGGCGTCATAAAACCAAACTCACTCACTTGAACTGACTCTCTCAGTTGTCCTCTCACTTTGTTGCTCTCACTTTCTCTATCCCTGTGTGAAAATTTCAAATTTTTTTCACTAATTTTCTTCAATTTGTGTATATTCCAGATAACACCTTGTTGACAGGCCAACTAGAGTCTTTTAGAAGCTAAAAAAGGCAGCAAGTTTAGAGACAAATCCTAATGCATACTTAGCCCACTTCAAACAATGGGAAACTTAGCCTCCGGATCAAGACAAGGCCCCTACCTGTCTGTGGTCCTTCTATGTTGTGACATGCATGACTCAGGGTCGCCATACAGTATCTGATTGTTGTGTCCACCTGACAAATTTGTCTGCGTGATTCCAGCTAAGGAGAGGTCCCGAAGATCTGTCTGCAGCAAACCATGAATGTCATGGCAATTGAGAGGATTGGTTTGTCATTTGACTTCTTTGATTCATGTCTTAATCGGATAGAGCATTGCTGATTAAGTTAGTCAGTGGGTTGTGTGACTCAATTATTTACATACTGCTTTGATATAGGCATAATTTGTTGACTGCGTGTCATATCATAATACTGGTTCATTGTTCATCAATCACTGGAAGGGGTAGTCTAGTGGTTAAAGCGTTGGCTCGTCACGCCGAAGACCCGGGTTCGAATCCCCACATGGGTACAATGAGTGAAGCCCATTTCTGGTGTCCCCCGCCGTGATATTGCTGGAATATTGCTAAAAGCGGCGTAAAACCAAACTCAGTCAGTCAGTCAGTCAATCACTGGATTGTATGGTCCACTGGATTGACAGGCTGCAACATTTAACAGCAAACAAAGTAATGATGATATGCTTATCTCAAACTTTTCACTCATCACGCCGAAGACCCGGGTTCGATTTCCCACATGGGTACAATGTGTGAAGCCCATTTCTGGTGTTCCCTGCCATGATATTGCTGGAATATTGCTAAAAGTGGCGTAAAACAAAACTCACTCACTCACTCATAAATATGCCGGTACTTAAGTCATGAAAGATAGTACTTACAAAATTTGCTCCATGTTTGTGTGAAATTTGCATGCTGGTTAATTTCGCTTTGTTGTGATAGATATTTGTCAATCCTATATAGCGGTTATCTGATGATGTTCTTAACAGGCAGTTAGCCCTGTAGTTGTTAGGTAAAGTTACTGCAAAACATCGATGGAGAATCAAAACATAAATCAAAACTAAGATTGCATGTCACACAGTTAGGTTAAGCTTGTGATGGATCGATATGTTTTAAAATGTTCAACAGCCTTATCAGTACTGAGTATAGAGAGAATTTTGTTTTGTCGATCAAAGAGAGAGATTTCAGCAACTTGAGATTTAGATTCATGTGAAAAGTTGTTTCAGTGAATTGAAGATTAAACCTGTGTTTTTTTAGGGTGTTACCTCTAGGAATTATAGTCCATTGTCTGTTTAAGAAACAGAATGCAAATATTTTTTTTGGTTTTTTTTTGTTTATGGATATTTGGCCCAAATAATTCCATTTCTAAATATTTCTTTTAAGCTCCTTAAAGTATTAAATGGGTAGGGAAATAAACAAGTTCAGAGCTACTGCCATTTCATTATACAATGAGATCTGTCAATAATCGACATTTTGAATACATGCAGTAAGTATGACAGAAACCTATGATCATGGGCTGGAATCCCATATTTGCCTGATGTTGAGTTTGTCAGAACCATACCTGCGCTTGTTGGTTTCATACCCGTGATGATCAGTGTTAGAATAGATCTTCAGCAACCCATGCTTGTCACAAGAGGCGACTAATGGGATCAGGTGGCCAGGCTTGCTGACTTGGTTAACACATGTCATCGGTTCCAAATTGCGGAAATCCATGATCATGGAGGCAGTGGAGTAGCCTAGTGGTTAAAGCGTTCGCTTGTCACGCTGAAGACCCGGGTTCGATTCCCCACATGGGTACAATGTGTGAAGCCCATTTCTGGTCTCCCCCGCCGTGATATTGCTGGAATATTGCTAAAAGCGGCGTAAAACCATACTCACTCACTCACTCCATGATCATGGAGTTGATCATTTGATTGTCTGATCCAGACTTGATTTTTTACTGACTGTCGCCATGTAAATGGAATATCGCTGAGTGCAGCGTTAAACAACAAACTTAAAGGTCACATGCAACGTAAAACACAACTTTGCTGATTCAAATACCTTTCGGTATGGACTTACCGAAACAAATCGTCAAAAATGCAAATTCAACTTATAAAGTTGAAAAATAACGCGATGAAAAAAAACGCGCGAAGTCGGAGTTCAAACGTTTCACTAATTTTCCCCCGACTTTTCTGGGGAAAACGGGTTTCAACAGCTGGGCTGCGCTCATAGCACGTGCGCAGTGAAATAGGTTCGTGCAGCTTGGAAGCGGGTTGTCCGGTGAAGGCTTTGGTGTGAGCTATTTTTCTAATGTTTTGTTGATATCTCACAGGCGCGAGCTTTTTATATGTTATGACAGTAAATAAACTGTTTATATAATTTCACCACACGTTCTTCTTACCGAGTCACTTTCTCAGTTCGATACTTAAAGCAATGTCATTATTTAGCGTTGACAGAATTTCTAACTGTGATATAGATATGTCGTTGTCACAGACAAAACTCAGTGTCTTGTTTTATTGACACCTGTGTGTCTGCCTGCCTGTCTGCTAATGACAATATTCAACACACAGCTGCTATCACTGACCACGTGCAATTTGAACTTAACACCAATCAGGCTATACACCATAAACAAAATGCATTGATTTATGGACCGAGTTCGGTCTCTGTCACATTATGTAATTACACAGACAGGCAGGTGTGATACTTGTACACATGACATGTTATGATGTCTGTTGATTCCCAAATGTTATACACAAAAAATGAGCATGTATTTACAAAACCCAGCATCTCTATATATACACACACAATGAACCGTGAGGGCATCTGCAAATGAACCAGCCGTTACACTTGAGTGCACACCCACCCGCTCTGACTGGGTTCGGTATCCCGGCTGCTTCGTTTCTTGGGAAGTAAACCAAAGTACACAATATTGCACTTTTGATTTGCGATTGTACGCTTATAATTTTGTTTATATGTTTTTTCATAACCAGCAATGTTTATTATATGTCATGAATAAGTGATAATTGTGTTTTAATTATGTTTGATTTTTTGGTTGCATGTGACCTTTAACAAACTCATGGATCTCGCTTTTGTGGTAAACAACAATGACCTCCATCGCTTCCGATTTACCTCTCAGACAATCAGGCACACCTTGATGGTGTTGAAAGTGGCATTGAACAAAACATGCTTTGTACGATTGTAGTGTAATTTAACATGTTGTTAGACAACTGAATATTTTCCTAATATATGTCTGCTTGCATTTGTTCATGAGACATCAGGCAAAACCTTGGACATGCTGTTAATGTCTTTGATTACCAAACTGAAAATGAAATGATTTTTGTATATGTTTTATGAAGGTTGTAGAATCATGATCGATTTGTTATACAGAGACAAAATGGACATAATATACTGAGTGTTTGGTATCAGTCAAACTCTTTAGATTGTCTGTTGTGTTGTGCACAATCTCAGGTTAATGGCACGTGAAGATGTATTGCTAATACTGTAATCGTAGTTAATTTCGCGTGGGATTAATTTTCGCGCTTTTAGTGCAAAAATATTGTGCGTCAATAATCATATCAGGCGAAATATTCATGTTCAAGTCATGGCAAATACTCAAGTAGGGATAAGATACAATTTATAAACAACAAACACTACTTTATGATTTCTATGTTTAATTATCGTAAGTACTATAGTATACACTGTTCCTGAATTTGTTGTCAGTTGATCTCGCATATGGGACAGGTGTTGTCATGTTGACACAAGTATAATCCCACCTCTCTCTGTGATTGTTTTAGTAACACAATTCAATTGTGGCGGCTAGCTTTGATCATTGCATGTCTATCGGTTGTGATACCATCACTCAGGTGTTTGAAATGCGTGAAAAAACAATTACGCTCACAGGTCTTATGTGAACTTTCTGCGGAAATTGCACCCCGTGAAAATATATACGATTACAGTACTTAGTATTCATAGAGTGTATTCAGTGTGAACAAGATTCCCATTGTATGTGTGTACTGTGATGCTGTCTTATGGGATGACAGCTTTCAAAGTTGGCAGGTTATCATATACTGCATACAGTTCCTCTTAGCATTTTCTGAACTTGGAGATGGGGTAGCCTAGTTGTTAAAGCATTGGCTCATCATGCCGGAGGCTAGGGTTCGATTCCCCATAGGTACAATGTGTGAAGCCCATTTCTGGTGTCCCTCGCCATTCATTGGTGGAATATTGCTAGAAGACTCATAAAACTTAAACTCACTCACACACTCTGAACCTAGACTTGCCATACTGACCAGACTCCAGAGGTGAAATTACGTTTAACGTTGTGCTTGAGAATACAAACGTTTTTCGCTCATATGACGACATGCATGCCTGTGTATGTGTATGTGCGGCTGCTTGTACTAGCCCAGACTTAAGCTGGTTTTATAGTGCTAGCTCACTGAGATACCATGCCGCAGTTAAGCATGAATACCCCACTCAGACACATTATACTGACTCCCGAGCCGACCAGTACTTGTTGTACCCATTAATGCCGAGCACCAGGTAGGGACCAACAAGTACCATATGTTAACGTCTTTTGGTATGACGCGGTCGGGGATCAAACCCGCGACCTTCCGCTCTCCTGGCGGACGCTCTTACCACTACACCACGGAGGCTGTCACCAGACTCCAGACGATTGTGTAGGACATCTTTGGAAGCAACCCCTATTAAGACTGAACACTTGGATTGCATTTTCTATTATTAGATTGTGTATGTAAAACAGTAGCATAGAAGAGTATATATTTACCAAGTTGCTTTATTGAAAAGTATTAGTTTCACAGAGGATTTTACCTTGGCGTGTATGGTTTTATAGGGGTCAGTCTTTGTTAATATTCTAATCTGGTAGCATAAGTAGCATGGAAATAGGGAAGTTGGCTTGATGAGAATATGAATATTTTTTTAACAAATGCATTTACAACAGTGATACAAGCAATTTTATTCTCAAAAATTTGATTTGGCATATATGCAGGATTTCTGCATCAGGAAAAAGTTAGATTTGTGTCTTGTTTAGGTGTGTTAGAAAGTCAGGTGGTATGTATATATACATGTAGATTTTCACTGTCGATGTGATTTATGTCAACCAGTGTCATAGTTCTCTCAGATTATGTTAGGGTACAGGTGGTCAGTGGTCTAAGGTGAACCAACTTGCTATGCAGTGTATGAATCTACTTACTTTAGCTTTTCCTTGACTCATATACTGAACAGGATGGGTCGTGGAGCTTCTCCGTGACTCAGATACTGAACAGGAGGGGTGGTGGAGCTTCTCCTTGACTGAGATACTGAACAGGACGGGTGGTGGAAGGTCTCCTTGACTCAGATTCTGAAAAGGAGGCGTGGTGAAGCTTCTCCATGACTCAGATACTGAAGAGGAGGGGTGGTGGAGCTTCTCCTTGACTCAGATACTGAACAGGACGGGTGGTGGAACGTCTC